CGTTCTCCATGTTTGAAGTCTTTATGCTTAGGATCTTCCAATAGCATCAATAGTGCCTTCAGGTCAAAAGTCACTAAATATATTATAAAATTTGAAACAAGTAAATTTGTAAATATAAAGCAATGTACTTGCTTTTATATATATCTAAGAAAGTTGGAAACAAACCTTTAAAAATGATGCTGTAAAGCTTGCCATCTACATGGAGTCCATTCTTTTTAATTTCTTGTTTCTCCTCATTGAACCTTGTCAGTAATAGCTTTATTTTTGCCCTAAAAGCCAATTAGTGATTTTAAACTGATGAGCGGCTGGGGGTCGTGTGTCGTGGGTCGTGGGTATTATGGCGTGGGTCGAGCAAATGCATATGAAACGTGTTTCTCCTTTCTATTTTTATTTAAAATTTCATTAAAAAAACCTTAACACTAATAGCTAATGAAAAACGCATACACAGAATAAGCATACATTCTGGATTCCTCAGTCACGATAGCCTTTTGCAGTTCAAAAGAATTTATTATATGTGATTCATGCTACTACAGCAGAAGATACCCTGCGAGCAGAGTCTCCTTTCCTTCTCTGGTCCGTGAAGGAGGTAAAAGGAGAATCGACCTGCTCACAGGAAGTAAACAGAAGAGAACTCGAACCTGGGGAACTACCTATTCAAGATTTAACATTGATGACTTTTTCAGTTTTTTGAAATATATATATATGCCAGTTATTTGCCTTAGCAACATTTTGTGTTCATCAGTTAGATGTGGCACTAAATCATTTGGAATTTTAATAAGCCGCGGGATAAAATACCTATGACATACAGCTACACAATTTGGATTCAAATGGAAGTAAACATTTGATACTTGGGCACTTTTTTGTACCTTCTTTGTCTCTGTGTTGTAGTAAGACCGTTTGTCTCCGCTGACAATAACTAAATCGTTTGGCCTATTAGGGACTTGTCCATCAGGCTCCGACTCTTAGAGAAATCAAAGCACCTGTATGGCCAACTTGTGGATACTTTGCTGTGCTTTATAGCCGCGCGTTTTATGCAGCTTTAGATCATTTTTATTGGAAACGAGCTTTTGTCCATCATATCCAATCCCAAACGTTTTTGAAGGAGGCTGACTGATCGTTGATCGGCAATCTGGGATTTTGCCACAGGCTTACCATCCTAACTATTTGTGGTATCGGATGGGCTCCCTGTGGTCTCTTGTTTCATACTGCAAAAGGCTATCGTGACTGAGGAATCCAGAATGTATGCTTATTCTGTGTATGCGTTTTCCATTAGCTATTAGTGTTAAGGTGTTTTTATGACATTTTAAATGAAAATAGAAAGGAGAAACACATTTCATATGCATTTGCTCGACCCACGCCATAATACCCACGACCCACGCCATAATACCCACGACCCATGCCATAATACCCACGACCCACGACACACGACCCCTAGACACTCCCGTGATAGGAGCAAGGATGGTGCATGTTTGAGAATTTAAAATAGATCACTATGATCGTATTGAACTCGCTGGTGACTTTACTTTGAATTTCTCAACTTGAAAACTACACTCCGATTGATATGACTTCCGACGGATTACAACTTGAATTTCCTTGACTTGATAACTAAACTCGATTTTAAAACTGGACTCCGATATGAAACTTATACTCCGTTAAATGACTATATTTCGTTTGAATGCTCAATGGCTATACTTTTCTTTCTCGTTCCTTCCTCGACTTCCATTCCGATTCTGACTTCTTAAAACATGTTCATACATGTCACGTGACTCTACGTTTTGACATTTAATTAGCATATCCCGCGAATTCGCGACAGTGCAGTTGGTTAGTGCGCGGTCTTCTTTGCAAGAGGTTTCACTTCGATTCAGTGACCACACATCCTTGTTTCGACTTCTTTCCTCTCCGTGTAGCTTTAATTAGCTTTAAATACCCTTAAAACGGAGCACTGATGGAAAGAGGGGATCGAAATGAACGCAATGTCGGCCTTAAGTTAATTAGTGAATGACTATTCCAAGCTACCGACGTAAAATAAGGACGCTTTACTTTTATTAGCTTTTTTAGGTATATGGAGAGCTAATATCCTTACCGGGGCTTTTCCAACAAAATCCCCTATGAATTATAAAATTTTTATATATAATTTTTAAGTTTATGTTTATTTTAATGTAACAAAAGACTTCAGTATGAATAACGTCAAATAACGTTTATTTCGAAAACTGGCGACAATTTTATCTTAGCAAGTCATGTGATATGTGACACAATACACCCAAAAATCTTTGGGGTGACTGACAGGGCGCGTGACTACATCCCTGCCAAGTTTCGTAATCACAGCTTGTATTGCCGCGGAGAAACTGGGACAGGGGCCACCAGAGGTGCGTTGGGCCACCAGACGTGGGGCCACTAGACGTTGGTGGAACGTGCCAAGCTTACTTGGACACACAGGCCAACGTGGTGTGTCCCAGTCGTCTCGTTACACGTAGGGTTAAGCTTCTGGCGCTAGAAGTTTTGAAACGTTTAGGTCGAATACTGACCTCTACCTCTTGTGTTAACCCCTGATGATAATTACTTGGTAAATCGAACGACTATCCCAGAGCTTTCATAGTTTTATATTGTATTCCCTACCACACCGCCGCGACGCATCATGCCCCTGCGTTAGAATGACCATGGTACCATGGTATTTCATTGTCAACCATGGTCAACCATGTTTTGACTGTGGTCAAACCATGGTGGCTGACCATGATCAGAAAATAATGATGACCATGGCACACCGTCAACCATGGTCAAAAGACATTTTGCTTTATTTTACCAAAAAAAGACATAGATTGATATAAATAGGGGAAAATATAAGAAGCAAAAGCTAAAAATTAGTTTTTAAATATTCTATATTAATTTAATTTGCATTTTTTTCATGACCTTGTTACACAGTCAACCACAGTCAAAGTATAATATTATACAGGTATACGAGTACCTAAGTATAAATGCGCCTACAGATCTATCACACAACACAGTGATCTAAGTAAGCATACAAATTATACAGGTATACAAGTACCTAAGCATAAATGCTGCCTACAGATCTAATACATAACACGGACAGTGACCTAAGTAAGCATGCAAAATATACAGGTATACAAGTACCTAAGCATAAATGCTGCCTACAGATCTAATACAAAGACAATAAACGCACATCACATACATAAAATAACAGCAAAAGGGTTAGATAGGCAGTGATAATGTGTAAAAAAAACCTGAAGTCCTTTGATCTTGGGCCATAGTTCATCGAAACGTTCTCAGTGACCCTTTCAAATAAAGCGCCACAGTAGAGTCACATAATATCTTATAACCACGTAAATATTGTTTCAGTGATGTAACGTGCCGTCCATTGATAGTGGCATGCTATGTGCTCATGCTGTGTTAATCCGTACGATGACATGCATTACGCAAGTATTCCCTATGCAATGAATAGAAATGAAATCTGAGACCAGCACTTTGAAAGTGCTGCTTCACGCCGGTAACTAAGCCGTGTAGCTCGTCATGCAATATCGATGTCATACGGAGACACTTCTGCACCAATTTTATTAAACAGGTTTAAGCAAATGTTAACGGTTTCCTTGGCTGATWCATTCGAGTTGGATTTAGGTACTCCAAGAATCTTTATGTTGTATTGATAACTGTATTTATTGATTGCTTCAATGGCTTCATCAATCTTGTACAATTTTTCTTCGATGTCTCTTAATTTGGAGGCCATCGACTTAAAATCTCTCTCCAAATTATCTTTGAAAGATCTGATATCGTCATATTCATCGGAAAAGTGCTGAATACTTTGTTCCACATCTCGCGGTTCTTCGCTAATGTTGTCCATCTTCTTCCTCAACGATTTCATTTCCTCCGCAAATTCGGCTACTTGTTTACGTAGTTGTTCATTTTCTTTCTGGATTTTAGCTACTCCTGAACTCATCGTTTGTTTGTTTTTCTTTTTTTGAGTAGACATCCATATATAGTCAATTCAAAAAACGTTGTCGTCTTAAGCCTACGCGACTGGACCTAAAGGAACTCTGGGTAGCAATCATTGAAGCCGAGTTGACTCCATAATTTTATCTTACTAGTTATGCCTGGTTTACAGCACGAACCTTCGTAGGTGAGCGGGAAGTGTTGAAGGAGACGTTTTTATAACGCCTTCATATTTTGGAAATTGTGAACTGAATCATAAGTACTTTGTTTTTGTTTCCCTAAACCCAAAGACATACATTCGATGGATTGTTTCTCGCCATTATTATCTTATTACTAGCGGGAACAGTCAATTCAGAACGAATATTTAACCGCTTCAGTGATTTTTACCCATATTCCTTTCGGTCCAGTCGCGTAGGCTTGAGCCGGTCGACGACAACGTTTTTTGAATTGACTGTATACTAGTGAAATTTGTAGAAATATACAGAGCTCTTGCAAGCACGTCCGTACTCACTCGCGCACGACATGCGATACACACCTGACTTACTAATTTTGTCGGGAGTGTTTGTCACACACAAGTCAATTAATGATTTAGTGTTATGCGTTCTACGTGTTGGCTCATTTACTAGCTGAGAAAGCCCATAGATATCCAAAATATCAATTAAATTAGATGAAGCTAGGTTCGTTTTCGTTAGTTCTAAGAGATCGCAATTTAGTAGCATAGGGATTGGGGGTTCCAACTCACACGCCACTCCTGTATTACCCGCTCCAAACAGCTTCGATTGGTGGTTCGTCGACTCCCAAGGGGGTGTTCCCTGTAGCTCGTGGATGTGTTTGGAGATGTATCTACTATATATGAGGTGCGAAGAATGTAAGAGAGAATTTAAGCGACCAGGAGATCTAAAGAAGCATTTGATGATGCAAAAGGATAAATGTAGATCGAGTTACGGATGTAAGTGTGGTAAGGAGTTTGAGACGAAGGTTAAGTTGTATTGGCACTGTCAAGCATGCGACTACGATTACGAGGACTCAATCAAGGGATAAGATATTTCCTATTATATATGGAGTCACGATTCAACTTCAAGACGGTCTCAATACCTGGAGACGGGGAGATTGACTTTAGGCAGTTTTGGATGAAGTCTAAGAAGAAGATGAAGAGAGCATTGGATAAGGGAGTAGAAGAGTTAGGCGCCTTAAAAGCCAGCATTATGGCAGAGGTAAGTTTGATGAAGGAGGACACTGAGACGACAGTTATGTTGCGCTCTAAGTCTTTGGTTATATCAGAGTCGACAAGGTTAGAACCAATGCTATCAGACACTTTAGAGGGGCTGCTGGAGATGCTGTCTAATTACACCAAGCAAGGATCTGGATGGACGGTAACAGAAATAAGAGACATGCAGATTAGCATGGCTAGATACGTACCGATAAAAGGAGGAAGTTACGTACCGTTACCAGCTTGGATAGAAAGGAAGAGAGCTATCGTAAGCGTGAGGAATGATGATAACAAATGCTTTATGTGGGCGATAAGGTCCGCTTTGTATCCTGTGGAGAAGAACACGGCGAGAATGAGTAATTACCCAAGTGATGACCTTAATTGGGAAGGAGTTACGTTCCCAATGCAGCTGCACGACATACCAGCGTTTGAAGATGCCAATGACATTGCAATAAACGTTTACGGTGCTAGAGATGAGACGATAGTTCCTCTAATGTTGTCAAAGCACCAAGGTAAGAGGGTGCACCTTTTCTACCAAGGCGGTAATTATTCCTGGGTAAAGCACGTGAGCAGGCTATTTTACAGACATACCAAACATAAGTGTAAGAAGTACTTCTGCGACTGTTGTCTGCTGTCATTTACGGACGCGAAAGCCCTGGAGAAGCATGATAAGATTTGTCGAGGAGTAGAACAAGTAGCACAGAGAATATCGATGCCCGCAGAGAAGAAATTGTCATACGACGACTTTAAGAGACAAGCCCAGGTGCCTTACGTCATTTATGCGGACTTTGAGGCTATAATTACCAAGGAGGAGCAGAAGAATGGGTCAACAAAGAAGTTAGGACTGCATGAGATATGCTCCTACGGATACATCGTTGTGCGACACGACGGTAAAGCAGACGAGCCTGTACTATACAGAGGGAAGGACGCATCCACGAGGTTCCTAGAAGCCCTAAAGGAAGAGGAAGAAGAGATAAGGAGGAAGCTGCGCTTGAAGAACAAGCCGAAGCTGTCCAAAGAAGACCAAGCCGCGTATGCGAAGGTCAAGAAGTGTCACGTATGTGAGTAGACACTCTTACAATTCGGCAGGCAGGCAAAGAAAGCATGGGATGACGACGGGAACTACCTAGGGGAAGCACACTTTAAGTGCGGGCGATACGCAAAGAAATGGTGAGAAGGCTTGGAAGCCCTCGACACACTGCATACATTGCCACAAAGCCCTGGAGGAAGATTTCTACGTGGACAAAGTCCTGGACTATTGCACGCTAACCGGTAAATACGTAGGAGCAGCGCACTGGAGGTGTCGCAACTACGTAGACCCAGACATGGAAATCCCGGTGTTCTTCCACAACCTCCGAGGGTACGACAGCCATCTCCTACTACAGAGAACGGACGGTAAGTCAGTCAAATGCATCCCAAACAACAAAGAGCGGTACATGTCCGTCACTATTGGTAAGCTAAAGTTCCTTGACTCACAACAGTTTATGGCGGACTCACTAGCGAACCTCGTAAAGTATAATGAAGATTCCCCAATATCCGACAAATACGGCGCGGAAAGGAAGGGAGTGTACCCTTAAGAATACATGGATTCCTGGGAGCGCTTTGAGGAGCCCTTACCGCCGAAAGAACACTTCTACAGCACGCTAAATGAGTCTGGGATATCCGACGAGGAGTATCAGCACGCCGTAGACGTTTGGCAGAAGTACGACTGCCAGAACATGGGTGAGTACCACGATATTTACCTACGCTCAGACGTGGTACTGCTGGCCGACGTCTTCCAAAGCTTTAGGAAGATGGCTATGGAGTACAACCAATTAGACCCTGCTAACTTCTACACTGCGCCTGGGCTATCCTGGAGTGCCCTGCTGAAGAAGACCAACGCACAGCTGGACCTATTAACCGAATACGACATGAACCGCTTTATGGAAAACGGCATCCGAGGTGGCGTTTGCGGGCCCAGCAGGCGTTATGCACGCGCTAACAACCCTCTCGTAGAGCATGACCCTGAAAAGCCCACGACTTATATCTTTTACCTTGACGCAAATAACCTTTACGGATGGGCAATGTCCCAGTACCTTCCCGTAAGGGAGTTTGAATGGGTAGAGCCTCGGGAGATAGACTACTACCTGCGCGTAAAACCAGACAGCCGCAAAGGATTCATCCTAGAAGTAGACCTGGAATACCCAAAAGAGTTACACACATTACACGACGATTACCCCCTAGCGCCAGAGGCTGTGGAGATACCCTTTGAGCAGCTTTCCCCACTGCAAAAGCAAACGTGCCCAAGCTACAAGCCGTACAGGAAGCTCACAATGAACCTGATGGACAAAGAAAAGTACGTAGTGCACTACCGCAACCTACAGTTTTACGTGCGCCACGGACTGCGCGTCAAAAAGATACACCGCGTGTTAAAGTTCCGTCAGGAGCCGTGGATGCAGCCTTACATAGACTTTAACACCCAAAAGCGCACAGCAGCGAAGAACGACTTCGAGAAGAACCTGTTTAAGCTGATGAATAACTCCGTCTTCGGTAAGACGATGGAGAACATTCGTAAGCGGGTGTCAGTGAAGATAGTAGGGAGTAGGGAGGAAGCAGAAGAGTATGTGTCGCAGCCGGGATTCGTGCGTTACGTGGAGATGCTGAACTTCTACGTAATACACATGAAGAAGGCCAACCTCTTCCTAAATAAGCCTGTATACACGGGGTTTACAGTCTTAGAGCTGTCAAAGCTACTAATGTATGAGTTCTACTATGACAAGCTGAAACCCAAGTACGGAGACCGATGCCGCCTCTTATACACGGACACCGACTCTTTGATAATGGAGATACAAACCCCCGACGTTTACGCGGACTGCCTGTAGGACATCGATGAGTATGACACCAGCGGTTACCCAAAGGACCACCCCCTTTACAGCCCGAAGAACAAAAAGGTTATAGGGAAGATGAAGGACGAGATGTTAGGCAAGCCCATCGTGGAATACGTGGGTTTAAAGCCAAGGATGTACAGCATCTTGCGTACCGACGGCGTTGAAAAGAAAGCGAAAGGCGTAAAAAAATACGTGGTTAAGAAGGACATTACCCATGAGTCCTACCTGAACGTATTACGCACACGCAAGGAGCAACGACATAAGATGAACTCCTTACGCAGCTACGGACATCAAATACACAACGTCACCAAAGAGAAGGTGTCCCTGAGCGCATGCGACGGCAAGCGGTGGATGCACGATGATGGTATTCATACTATGGCATTCGGACATCACACAATAAGCAGTTCTTCTTTGACGAACCCACGCGTGGGACCATCATGAAGATAATACAAGATGGGCTGACCCTTCTTAGCTATTGCACTTTGGATCTGGTAAGTTTCCAAGACCAATTAGGATCCGTAGCTCTTTTGGATCCTCCTTCTAATTCGCCCGGCTCATAGAGATATCGAACCGTGACATCGCCTATTCTTTTTTCCTGGGGGAAGACCGCCCTTGAGCTTCTGACGTAGGACTTGTGTTCCACGTGTTTCTTTTTTATGACATCCTTGGGTCTCATTCCCGTAGCCCTGGCCACCTCGTTGTTTAAAGCCGCGATGACCTGGGGGAGCCTCTGAGTCCATTCCCTGTTGCGTTTGGAGGGATCTTTCAGCTCTTTCCAATACTGGTATCCAAAGAGACGCTCGGCCAGGGTCTTATTGAATCTTTCGACGATGCTCTGACCCCTGTGGTACTCAGCTTCAGCTCTCCTAATCTTGGTGCCGTGGTCTTTCAGGGTCTTGGTAACCACGCCCATGAACTCTGTYCCCGCATCCACTTGCAGCAGCTTAGGCCATTTCAAGACGCGCTTATAAATCCTACCTAGGGCTTCTGCGACTTCCCCAGAATCCTTG